TGGCATATATTGTCTAGAATACCCCCCAATTGCCACAATCACACATCCATCAAATTGGTTGAATAGATTCATACTCTACTAATTAGACATTTATTTTGTGATGCAAAGAACATAATTAAATCAATTTCATTGGTTTAATAATTGATCATATTGTATCATAACAGGTGTATTTTTACCCAATGCACATCTATATATAATTGATTATGGATTCCTCCTTTACAAAAATTAGATAAAAGAACGGCGTCGGATTGTTTTTTTTTTTTTCCAGTATTTATCATCTAAAATTGAGTAACTATAGTAGCATAATACCCGATTCAATCAAGATTTTAAGTTCACGACGAATACATACAAGATGAACTATATGTGTCTGTGAACATAAATCCATACTATTCAACTAAAGTCTAATTAAAGATGTAACCATGGATAAATGAATTGTGTGATATATGCTTAAGAAGACTTTTAGGGTTTGGTCACAATCAATGGAAGACTTTTTAGGTTGGAGAGATTAATTACCAAAAAACCCTCAAATTAATCCACATATGATTGATCCAAGGTAGCTAAAAGCAAACCATCTTATCCATGTAAGCATGAAACTAGGAATCAAATGAAAGTTTGCTACATATATATTAGAATTATTAATAATCTCCAATAGTTATTATAACATGCATAAAATACGAAGGTAAGATCGATGAGGATCATCTTGATGCTTACACTCATTAAAGTACATCAGATAGTTTGATTTTCATAATAAATTTACATCACGACGTATATAGTAAGATATAATCAGATAAAATTCATCGAGCGTAACATAAATAAGGGCAAAGTAAGTACCGAAAAGGGGAGAGAGACTAGGAGGAATGTTGTTATCCCCTTTGGTTGCTATGGGTACCAAAACCAACAAAATCGCCACAAAGAGTTGCATATTAGAGAAAGCCATCTCAAATAATTAATGTGTATGAATAATCTAATTGGTTATCTTACTTACATTATATATATATACACATGTGTGTGTATATATATTATATATATATATAAGAATTGAGGACTATGTTTGCATGGTTGACTCATTCTCTATAGAAGCTTCGTCCGGCTATATATATATAATATATCACTCAAATTTCAAAAGTTTTTTTTTGTAAGCAAGAGTCTTCTCTCTTGTATTATTTTATCAACAATGTAAATATGTAGTTTTATTACTTTATATGTACATACTAGACTAGACTTTCATTTTTCTTTTATTTTATTTTCCACTTCTAGGGGTGAAAATTGGGATCGAATTTTGAATTTCAACTAGTTCAAATCAAAAAAATTCCAATTTTGTAACAACTTTTTCCATTCTGATTTTTTATATTTTTGATTTTTTTTTAAATTGGAATTGTAATTGTACAAAAGATATTTGGAATTTCTAATTTTCGATCCGATTTAATCTCCGAAATTAATTTTAAAAAAATTGAGTTATTTTCCTGAAAAAAATAAAAAATTAACCGCTGCAGAAAAACAAATTGAGTTAGATTGCGAAAATTTTGAATTTGAAATTGGAATTGGAATCAGTTTTATACTTACCAAAAAAAATTAAAAATTTCACGAAAAGATCAATTTCAATCTGTTCCATCCGACTTTAACTTTAATCGCCGCAGAAAATTGAATAATAGTACTAACTGACGAATTACCACCAAAGACGAAATCAACACGAAAAAACAACATTGTCTAGAAAAACCGTTTTCTTCACTATAGACTATAGTAATAAATTAAGGTTTAGATTTTATTTGACTTTTCATACATAGTTGGTACAAAATAGTCAGAGATGGAAAGCTGCTTTTTAATTTCTGGATTTTTTTTTAAAATAAAATGGAAGCTTCCAATTAAATTAAAGTAAGTATAAAATAGGTGAATTTCTGATGTGAAACTTGAAATACAAGAGAATCTAGAAGGTCGACTTACAATTTAATGTGACTTGACTTGGAAAACATTGTCGTGATAATATTTCATATAGTCGTAGGCTCGAGCGTGTGAACGCATAACGAATCGAGTCGAATTAAATGCATTTATGTTACATTTTGTTTAATTTTTTATCGAAGCTCTCAAAATTATTTTGTCATTGAACTTTGTTTGATAAGCAAATCGAATTGAGTTCGAACGAGTTTTAATCAAATCGAACACGAATCGAAATTGAATAACTTCGCTTTTTGTTCATATTTGTATAGTTTTTTTGTTGTGTGTAATAAAGCTAACGCTCGAGTTCGAGCTGCATAACTTGTCAAATGAAAATATGTACTTGTTTTTGTTATGGTAACAAATAAAGTTGTAATTAGCTTTAACGAACAATCTAATAAAAAAAAAATCGAGTAACTTAGTTTGATTTTCAGTCTAAAATACATTTTGTACCCCTAAGGTATATATACCCAACGTAACATTTATCTCTCTAAAATATATGAATTTTTTGATATTATTAGTGTAATTTTCGGGAAAAATTAGAATGTTCCAAATTATTTCCTGATCGGAAATATGGAATCTCGTATATATTGCAATTCAAACTCCAATCCAACAAGTTTCTGAAAAATCAGATATCCAATTTTCGAGATTCGGAATGAAAAAGATTGTTCCAAAATCTGAAATCCTTCAGATCGAAATCGACCGAAATCCAAATTTTCGAGATTCGGAATGAAAAATATTGTTCCAAAATCTGAAAATCCTTAATATTGTCCCAAAATCTGAAAAACTTCGGATCAAAATCGGTGGAAGTAAGAAATTCCTTTCCAATTTCTGACCCCGAATGATATTAGATTAGATTAGAAGTGCAGAAGATGGTGTGCACCGTTGGACCCAATGTGAACAATAAAACCATGTCCTTCACACAAAAATATTTAGCAAAACTGGCTACAAACGCACAAGTGAAGTTTACATTCCAGAGGCAGAATAAGGTTTCGGGTTTCGGACATTTCTTTTCTACATCTTTCTCGAAAAACAGAGTTACGATGATGATTGCTCAGCAAAATCTGCACATCAAATAGTAAACAAATTTAACAATATTAATAGCTGACTGAAGATATAAATTTAAAAAAAAAAAAATACGCAAAGACAACAAAACCGAGACTCGATTCGGTTTCACCTCGTTTTGTAAAGGATTCAGTAGCCACACAATCATGATCCTTATCATATAGTAAAACTACAAATTCGTCTTCAACTAATGCGACTCAATTATGAAGCCTGTACGTTGAACTTAGTTGTTGTTCAGATTTCTTGTTAACTTGGCATTTCGTTCAAATCGCAGACTTACAACATCTTGGGCTTTGTCCTAAAATGTGATTTCTCGATAGCATCTCTAATTTAACAATAACCATATTCTGATTTCAAATAATCAAGGGAAAAAAAATTAAGTTCGAAGTAATCTACGATCGAAAATCGAAACTATATACACACTAGCGAATCAAGACTCGAAGAACGTACTTGGTTGAGGCATTTCATCGAACACCTTGATCAAATCGGGATCAACATTCTCCGGCGGTTCCCAAGTAGCTTCCTCAATATCACTCCACTTCACCAAATACTCTTTCCTCCCATCCCCGCCTTCCCTGACTCCCAAAACGCCCTCCGCCACCGCGTACTCCAGCCCGGCCTCGAAATCGGTCACCAAATCCTCCGACACGACTCCGCCCTTCACCCACTCGTTGTCGCTCCCATCTCTCCACTTGACAAGATACTCCACATTCTCGCCTTTCCCTGTCCTGTCCAGCACCTCCTCCACCTCCGCGAACTCGTAGATCGCCGCGTCCAGAACGCTAATCACGCCGTCGAGGCCGATCCTCCTCGCGAACTGCAGCTGCGGGGTCACGCTCAGGATCTCCGTCGCCAGCGACAATGGCGTCTTCCCTCTGTCGTCCTCGATCTCCGGGTCCGCGCCGAACTCCACCAGCAGTTTCGAGACGGCGGGCTTCACGTAGCCGGCGGCCATGTGCAGCGCCGTGAGGCCGCCGCTTTTGTCGCGGCGGTTGACGTCGGCACCCGCCTCGGCGAGGATCCGGACGCACTGCTCGGAGCCGAGGCCGGAGACGAAGAGGAGGGCGGTGCGGCCGTTTTCGTCGACGGCGTCGACGTCCCTGCCGTCGGAGGATTCGATGATCTGGGCGAGGGCGGCGGCGTCGGCTTTTTTGGCGGCGGTCCACCAGGGGGTTTCGTAGTCGGCGACGACGTCCTTGGCGATGAAGTCGGAGGGGACCCACGTGGGGGCGTGGTCGTCTTGCCACTCTATGAGGTACTCCATTCCGCGGCCGTTGTCGGCGGCGGCTCTGCTGCCGATGATCCTGCTAACTTCGCCGTAGGTTTCGTCTTCATTGTAGTCGGTGAATTGTTCTTCTTCTTCGGCGGTGGGAAGTGCCGCTGCTGGTGAATCGCGGCTGTCGAGGATGGCGGAGAGTGAGAAAGTGGTGGTTCTGACGGAAATAGGGAGGTGGAGCGGCGGCGGAGGAAGGGAGGAGGTGGTGGTGGAGAGTGGGGTGGGGGAGAATTTGAGGCGGGAGAGAGATGGAAGAATGTTCATCGGAGAGTTGTATTTCTGGAGTGTAGTGAGAGAGAGAGAGAGAGAGAGAGAGATTGGAGGTGGTGGTGTTAGTGGTGAGAGATAGCACAGAGAAAGAAGATGGGAGGGAGATTGTTGGGGATAAGAAACCACATCCATGGATGGGCTGCAAATCTGACGGATCGGATTAAAATCGAAAATGTTTGGAAATGTTTTTAGTTTTTTTCGGCGGTGAAAAACTAGTTACAATTATGTTCAATAGTATTTAATAAAGAATCGAAATCGTAGTTTCGGAAATTGAATGATAAAATTTGTTGCAAATTTAGAATATTTTTGGCGTAATAGGCGGAAAAGTGTTTTTTATTTTTTTTGCAGTGAAAAACTAATTACAATTACGTTCGATACTATCTTTAGTAAAGATTGGAAATCGTAGTTTCAGAAATTGAATGAATAAACTTGATGCAGATTCGAATTTTTTTGGTGCAATTGGCGGAAAAGTGTTTTTAATTTTTTTTTCGGCAGTGAAAACCTAATTACAATTTTGTTCGATACTATATTTAGTAAAGATTGGAAATCATAGTTTCGGAAATTGAATGAAAAAATTTGTTGCAAAATCGATAAATTTCTACGCAATTGGTGAAAATCTATAGTTTTTAGTCGGTGATAATTTAATGCAATTGATATTAGGATAAATTGCACATCGCCCTCTGTAAATTTATAATTTTCGCACTTTACCCTCTCATTTTATTAAAAAAAGTGAATGTTCCCCTTTAAAATGTTATTGTTGTTGCACATTGCCCCGTAGCCAAACTCCGATCGATTATTTATCGGAATTAAGTAATTTTTGTTGTACGTTGCCCCTTTAAACGTTGTTTTTGTTGCATGTAGGCCCCTTAAAGAACACTATTTTTTTTTGCATGTTGCCCCTTTAAAATGTTATTTTTGTTGCACAATGCCCTCATATAATTGGCTTCTGGGGCAAAATGCAACCACAATAATATTTCGAAGGGGCAATATCCCTTTTCTGAATTTTTAAGGGGGAAAGTGCAAAAAAATTATAGAAGGTGAAGTGTATTTTGTCCTTGATATTATAAAAGTAATGTTTGTAGAAAACAAACGAAATTACCAAAAAAATAGATCATATATGGAATTTGAATCTCCTATATATTCAAATTCCAACCTAGCTAGTTACAATTATGTCCAAAACTATTTAGTAAAGATTAGAAATAGTAGTTTTGAAATTGAATGAAAAAATTAGAGTTGAACTTTTTTTGGCGCAATCGGCCGGAAAATCTATAGTTTTTGGTCAGCTGTAATATAAAATACATAATTCAATTGATATTATAAAAGTATTATTTGGAGAAAACAAATGAAATTTCCAAAAAATCAAACTTATAGTATCAATATTATCATGTATTATATATTATAGGTGAATACATATTGAATTTCCGAATTTCATCGATTTTGATCCGAAAACTTCACACATGTTCTTATTCCACTTTACAATATTTCAATTACCGATTCCAAATTTTCTTTTTTGAACTAAATTGAATTACTTTTTCACTTCTGAATAAAAAATGGAATGTTGATGAAAGTCCGTCCGATTTTCACGCCTTACTCAGACAAAAAAAAAAGGAGTTATGGGCTCGATTGCAACAATGAGAGGTTGATAGTATATAATACACCCATAATACATACATCCTATATATATATATATATATAGTATAAGTATATTTTCTAGAATTGAAAATCATAATTTTCGGAATTCAGAATGAAAAATATGATTATAATGTTTTATATATTTTATATTTCCTTCACCAAGCAGAAAAAGGCTTTACCAAGCCCAATGGAGTTCCTATTGGCAATGGTTTGGTGGTAGCTTGGAAGTCGTGGGAACGAAGAAATAAGGAGGTCGATCAATGGATAAACGAGCTTGCATGCGTCGGATATAACACGATGGTGCAGAGAGTACGTACATGACTACTTTTGAGGACGTCGCTCAGATCCGACCAAGGGCAATGTCGCAAACTTGTCATCCGAGCTTACGGAATCCACATAAAATTTCGGTTGCAGCGGTAGCGAGGGCTGCTGATGAACGTAGCGTTGGATGACAGGTGCTCAAAATACGAGCGAACTTTATTTTTTTTGGCTAGATATCCTACTTTGCGTAATGATTATTCTTCTCATTTAACTCCTAATTAGGCAACTCAAGTACCAAATTGCACTCTTTATCTTACTTCTTCCAATCGAAGCATTCATCGACACGGTTACAATAACAAGTTATTGAACGTTTGGGGATTTTCCAGTACGCAAGTCATTGTCGAAGAACATATATATATGGTGTCAATCGATTCCTCCGCCGATGTGATTCTATAAGTTAAATGTTGATGGTACGCCCAAGGAAGGCATCTGTACCATTGACCATGGTTTAAAATCCTAATTCAGCCAAAATTTCACTAATTTATCAATTTTCACCATTGACTATATTAACCTTTTCTTTTCTTTTTTTATTGATCGGTCAACATAGTAATATTACTTTAATAATACATAATGTCATTTTCTAATATTAATTATTTTATTAATATGATTACGTGTTTATCTTCCAAACAATCCCTTAATGATGACATGTCATTGCTTTATGAAAATATGAGAATATTCTTTTTCTTTTTCTTTCTTAATATCAACATTGTGAGTTCTTTTTGTCTTGCAATAGTGTATATATATTCGACTCTTTTTTTATTAATTCATATGTCTAACTAAGATTACATTCTTTTGATCCGACAATCCTTGTTGAAGAAACCTGGCATACACTTCGACATAATATTATAGTATTATGCCTCGTTTGGTTGGGAAAATTAGTCATAATTAATAGAATTATTGCACTTTGTTTGATATTTGGATTTCCAATAATTTGCCAGTTTGATCTGCAAATATTATGTTATTATGATTTATCTTACTTCTAGGAAGTGTTTTCTGTGGGACGTCCCGAAGCCTGATAAAATAATTAAGTATTCGTTAGATTATTTAATCTATCTTAGATAATCTTATATTCACAACCAAAAGGAGCCTTAGTTTTATATTGCATGTTTTGCATGTTATGTTGTGGTTTAGTGAGTTGTCGTTTTAAATTTTAATGGCTGGCTAATTATTGAAAACCCGTTTTCATATTATAATTCACACGTTCCCTCCACTTCCTCTCCACATCAATTAATTAATACATACATATTAACTATTTAAAAGAAAAGATTAATATAAAAATACAAAAATACAAATTGGTACCTACTACTTAAATTAAATTTTAGGTTTTATTTTTGTGTGTTTTAAGGAATTCTTTTTGGAGGAAAAATGTTATTTAAGGTGCACTGGAAAATAGATGTATTTAGATGCTTTATATAGTGTGAAATATGTTATGTAGCATATCATGTAAATTTAGGGATGGCAATTTGACCTGATAAGTCGCTGCCCCACTTGCCCATGAAGTTAGTAGGTATTAGTTGCCTCGAAAAAATATATATGGACGGAGATAAGAATTAATAATAAATATATCCAATTAATTTTGAAATTCTGAACTTTTGGTCTGAATTAATTTTTGAAATCATTTTCAAAATTTTAATTTTATTTATGAACTACTTTCATACTATCAACATTACTACGTAGGGATTATTAGCAAGACCCCCATCATTTAGGAAATGTAGTTAAACAAAATCTCCCTTTCAAAAATAATTAGAGAAAACCTCATTGGTTAGTATTCCACCAAATATTATTTTTATAATTCTAAAATCTACCCTTAATTGTCAATATACTATTTTGAAACCCTATTTCTCTTCCCAATTCACTATCTCGCCTTTCACCACCACCACTGCCTCTCCCCCGTCGTCCACC